AATTTCTCACTTGTTTGGGACATCATGATGAATCCTTTTATTCATTAATCACCACACCAAACATCAAAGTGCATACTGTAATTGTAAAGCTTCCTCTTTAAGAAGAAAAACGCCAGGCTCATTATACTCGTGGACCCTATAAAATCAAAAACCTACAAAAAAAGGTTCTGATACTGCTCTCAAGTAGAGACTTTCTAACTACTCAATCGAGCATGCACGATAGGTTGCTTTAGTAGGGTTGGGTAAAAAACCAGAAACCAAAGACAAAATTTCAATCCAGGGTAGACATAAACATAAATATGATTTAGATCCATTGATGAAAGTAGGCTTCTCACACGTGTTCCTACTGTGCGGTTCTTCCTCTTCCTCTTTCTCACATCGAGAGTCCGAAATGAATCCATAAAAATGTAATAGAAAAAGTTAATTATGTGGTAAATAACAAAACTAATGCACAAGCATCTTACCCCTGGTAACTAGTCAAATCATGATGAGTCGAAGAGCCAAACAGCACAAAGGAACCAATTAAACGCAAGGAAAGTAATGAAAACCTTGGACTGTGGAGAAGTAAATGAATCATTTGCACGACATATATAGTCTCAATCAAGAAATCCACCAACACATAACCACAGACCCTGATCATTTCACATCATATAATATCTTAGTTAAACGTTTCGGGAAAAAGATCTTATTAAAATTTTATTTAGGAATATTTTAAAATAAGTGCTCCAATGGAAGAGTAAATATCAACGGAGATGAAACCTTTAGACTCCAACTACTTAACCAGATGACCTGTTCGACGAATTGTTTAAACCGAGAAACGCAAAAATCCCCAAACCAACCACAACCCATATCAATTCACATCCCAAAATCCGAAAATGCAATCCAAAACAGGCTCAATAAATTACCTTAATTCCTGTAAATGGTTGGCGAAGTTCTTCTTCAGGTACAATAACAGGCCATTGCTCCCCGGCTTCGCGAAACATCTGCTCTGTCTCCAGGAAACTACCCTTGTCAAGAATCAAGTTGCGAATCGTCTGGGCCGGGGTTGAGGTGGCATCAAAGGTTTCCTCAACGCCGTTGACAAAGGTAACAGTGATCCTCGGCGGATAATCGTCCGTGCGGCGCTTCACCTGGACCTGGCAAGACGGGTTTGATTCCTTGGCCTTGCGAGCATTGCACTGTGCCAAGAACTCCATGCAAGAGGCTATTCGTGGGTCCAGCGCGTTGAACTCGATTCTGACCTTCGACAAGAACTTCAACATCCTGCGAATTGCAAGTTTTGGGTTCGGACCACCTCAATCTGATGTTGTGGGTTTTTTATTCAGTGTGAACTGTTTAGAATTAATTATCCGGAAAGAAGCCACAAGTTCAGAAAAATCGATGGTGACGCAGCAGCAGATGATTGGATCTTTTTTTTCTTTTTTCTTTTTTTCCCCCTCTTTCAATCAAGTTTGTCAAAATTTTAAATTATCTTTGACTTCGTAAAATAATAAAGTATTAGAAAAAATTAAAAAATTAAAATTAAAGAATTCTTCCGGAAAGGTAAATAACTTCAATG